CCCCAAAACCCCAAAACCCCAAAACCCCAAAGCTATTATATAATATTGAATTTATCACATGGAGCCTGATGGACTTGAAGAATGGGAACGAGGAGATCATAGATTAGACTTCGGCTCATCCACCAGCATTGCGTACTTAGTATACACAGGTGTATACCAAATAATTTTCTTACTAGTCATGATACAGGTGGTGAGAAACCTTATCAGCGAGTTCAAACAGTCATTCGTGGATTATCTTAATTTTACACAGATAATATTTATCATACTATACCTATTATCTCGGAATATATATGGAATTATCTGATTAATCCAAGTGCCAGGGATAGAGTTCTTCCATGTGCCTGTGCTTGCCCTGACAACCTTCTTTTTCTACTATTTCATTGTGATTAATAACATTTCGTGGTATTGCTTTATTATCCATCTAAATGCTGCTGTAGTTCCTTCTGATCTGACCCCAGAGGTGCTGAAGAAAATCAAAACCTGAGAGAAGACTATCACTCTTATCTGCTTTTCTATAGGGATATTTTTATTTGCCTCATGGGTCATTCTGATGATAACCTCATTTAGCCTAAATTGAGACCGCTCCAAATTATACCATATTGGAGTCGCTCTAATGAGCCGCGAGTGAGGCATAATACAGCTCACAGCAAGGATCTACACCACTGTGTGAATAGTCGTCGGAGGTATCGCCACAATCACAAAATGAGTTCTAGGGATAATTATCCTTAAGAAAATGAAGAAATAAGCTAAACTTCTGCTACAAGGAAGACAGGAAGCTTATAATATCAACAATAATCTTGACTGTTTGTACAATGGGGTTTAATACACTGACTAACTCAATCAATCATTTCTCAGAGAACATCTGGCTGCTGTACATCCTGAATGCAGAGTCAGTGACTGCGTTCACCCTGACGTACAAAACCTTGATTTCCTTCGTAAACTCCTTGTTAGAAATCTTATTAATGGTGTATACATCAAAGAGTATTGACTTCAGATACTACATCCTCATTCTCTTACAAGGAAGATGTATGATCGGATATTCTCCAAACACTTATCATACTCCTATTGGTACCCCCAGTATGAGCATTAATATTTCAATATTCTTGAAACTGAGAAAGTATTTTCCAAATAGCTTCAGCGGTAGATTCTCAAATACAAAATATATGACATCAGGAATTGAACCTCTTTCTGTGTATAAGATATCAGAAGAGGAACAGCCCTTTATTAATTATGATAAGAAGGAAACAGAAGATGTCAAACTGTTGCTGACTCAGAGAAATCCTAAACTTGCAAGTACCAGTGCTACTGGAAAAGATGTGGCACATTTCAGGAAGAAATCTAGTTTTAACTTTACTTAGGGCTCACTTATTTCTTATTTAAAATCTTTACTCAATTTATCCAATATAACATGGGGTTTTGGGGTTTTGGGGTTTTGGGGTTTTGGGGTTTTGGGG